GTCCCTCAAGACCCCATCTGTGAACCACCGAGCAGAAGGCTCGGAGGGCTCCCGGCCTTCCGAGAAGCTTTCGAGGCATTCTCCGAAGGCCCCGTGGGCTTCTCGCAGGCCATGGAGGTCAATGCGCAAGAGGATGCCACCACAGAGAGAGCGCGCACATGATCATATCCAACCATGAGCACATGACTGTTTCCTCCAAGCCGTGCGCTTGCGGCAGAGCCGCTGACGATACAGGCGGAACGACTAGAAGGTCAGGCCGCAAAAGCTCGCCAACAACCTCTCGCGGACGTGCGGGTCGCACCCAAACAGCGCCGGGAAGATCGCTATCACCAGCGCGGCCCGCTGCAGGCTCGACAGGCCCTCCAGGTCGCCCCTGGCGGTGTGGGCCGACGTGAGTCCGCTGCCCAGCTTCGTGGCCTGCTCGCTCAGAGCCGCCCACTCCCGCAGCAGCCCGTCCAGCGGCTCCGGCGGCAGCAGGCCCGCCAGCTCCTCGGCGCCAGCGTCGGGACGCGGTGCCCACGCACGCACGGAGCCCTCGGCGGCGGGTGCCAGGGCGAACGAGAGCACCTGGGCGGCGAAAAGAAACGTTGAGCAGGGACCGACCGTCCCGGAATTCTTAGAATCCTACCACGAAATGTTCTTAGAACCCAGAAGCGTTCTAAGAACGAAACCAATGTTCTTAGAGCATAAACCCAATGTGCTCAAACAAGACAGCCCCGAGCCAGAAATGTTCTGATAACATTTCGTGGGAACCACAAAAAGGTTCTTCGAACATTGCTTGGTAGGGCTATGGGCGAGCCGGGACGCTTCGCCACTGCTTGAAAACGGGCCCTGCGCGAGAGCCATTGCGGCGCGGCCTGTCGCCTCTGCCTGCGCGCGCCGCTAGCGTGGCACACCGCGTGGCGAAGAGGGCGCACGCGCGCGACCTCGCGCGGAAGCTTCCACGCGAGTCTGACCCGCTCTTCACAGCTCGCGGTGACGCACGTGACCGGCCCCACCCCCTAACCTTCCAGGAGGGCTAAAAAATAGCACGCGACTTAAAAACCTATCCCAGAGCTATTCTGTGTCTTGGTTTTAGGCTGTTTCGTTATGCTTTTTTTTATGTTTTTAGGGCTCCCGTGCTAAAACATAGCTCTCTGGAAGGTCAGGCCCCCCCCCTTCCCGCAGTCACGCCACGATCCGCGCCGGCGCAGTCTGGGAAGGAGCCATCCCGAGGCATTCCCGAACGGCGCCGGCGCGACTCGTGACGTGAGTAGCCCCGTCCCCCCTCCCCATCCCCTGACCTTCCAGAGAGCTAGTTTTTTTTAGCACGGGAATCCTAAAAACCTGAAAAACAAAACGAAACAGCCTAAAGCCAAGACGTATAATAGCTCTGGGATAGGTTTTCAAGTCGCGTGCTATTTTTTAGCCCTCCTGGAAGGTCAGGGTCCCCGCCCCCTGGTCACGCCCGCCATCGCCAGGGAGTCCCAGACATGCGACGTCCTGATTTTTCAAGGCGCGGTCCCCGGATGTCCCGAAGTACCCTTTCCCCGGGACCAGGTTTTTCATCCTGATTTGACGGTCCCGAGGCCCGAAAGAGGGCCCCCCGAGGCAGAAGATAGCCCAAAACCTCCCGTCGTGATACTTTAGCGACGCTAGCATGTGTGGTGTCAGACAATCTTCGCTATTCTCCCGTTGCTTCCCTGGTCCTCATCCTCCTCCGCGTCCTCCTCCTCACCCCCTCCTGCTGCTCCACCGCGGCCTCCGCCTCCTCCTTCTCCTGCTGCACCCCTTCCTCCTCCTCCTCCTCCTCCTCCTCCTCCTCCTCCTCCTCCTCGTTCTCGTCGTCGCCGTCGTGCTCGTCGTCCTCGTCGTCGTCTTCGTCGTCGTCTTCAGGGTCGGCGGCACCGGCCCTAAGGCCTTCACAAAATCTTCGCTCTTCGCCCGTGGCTCGCCTGGGCGGCGCCGTCGCGGAGGGACACCCGCAGCCGAAGCCGGTCGCCGGCCTCCACCGGCAGAGGCCCCACGGGCACCAGGGGCTGCTGCCAGTGCGTGCGGTAGCCGCCGCCGCTCGCGGGGAGGCGCAGGACACGGGCTCGGGGGCGCGGGCTTCCCAAAACCCCTCGAGGCAGGAAAAAACCGCGACGGCAAGTTTTTCGAGATCTGGGGCCCCTGGGGGCCCCCACCGGGCCTCGGGGCCGTCAAACAACTACCCAGGATCAAGAACCCGTCCCGGGGAATGGGTCGAGACCTCGAGAGCCGACGTATGGAAAAATCATGACGTCGGGGGTCTGGGTTAGCGGGCCCTGGAAACGACAGGGCCAATTTTTGACGAGTTCTGCGTTGCCAGTCTTTGTTGCCGGTTCCGTCGCCATTTTTGTTGCCAATCGCGTCGCCGTTGTTTTTCAGGTTCCGGCTCCAACTCCAAGTCTAGAACCGTTTTTTCGCCGTTTCTGTTTGCCGTTCTTTTATTACCGCCGTGACGGTTCTGCCGTTCGAGCGCCCACTCTCTAGGTTCGAGAGACACTTCTTCAGAAACGGTGAAAATAAGCGTCCCTGCCGTTTCCAGCGCCCACTGAGGGCTCGGGCTGGTCGGGCGGGGCCGTCAGGAAAATTGCCGATTCCGCAAACCCTGTACCCAAAAAACGAGGGGCGCGAAAGGGTAGGATGGCAAATGGCAGGGTAGATAATCAGCTCACGTGGCTAGTTTTCCTTGCGGTTTCTGGCGCCGGGAGGCGCTCGTGTATCGAGGAATGGGCCTGGCGGCGAGGCGGAAACTAGCTGCGTGCAGCAAATCTCGTGACCCCCCCCCTTTCCTTATCCCCCCTCTTCGTCCGGCCCGATCAAAACCTGGTCAACTCTTGGGAGGTCGACTCTTGCTTCCCTTTCATTTCAACGCGACTCCCACTGCCTTGGAAGTTTCGCGGGGCTCCGGCACAGCCGTGAAAACGAAACGAGGCCCTGAAAACGGACAGCGGGCGCGGAGCGGCAGGCCGACTGGCCTCAGTCCCGCTCCCGCGCACCCCCACCCCTGTGGGAGTGGCACCTGCGAGGGCGGCTCCCCCCGCCTCTGGTGGGGAGAGACACAAAGTCCCCCGCGTCCGCCAGCTTCCGCGGGACTTCCGCCGGCGGAGGCGGCCTCGTTTTACGTCCGCCGCCCTCCGCCGCCCGTCCCGGGCCGTCCAGCTCGCTGGATCCTCTAAGGCACAGCCCTTTCTGGAACGCTCCAAAGGACGAGACCCAGTCTGACTACCTACCAGACCACCCCAACCCAACCCGAAGACCAGAATTCCGGGTTGGGGGGGGTACGGGTTTCATGTGTTTTTCCGATGTTCCCCGACCCCCCCCCACTGGAAATGGAGGGCAAACCGGGGCCTTCGGGTTGGGTTGAGGTGGTTTGGTGGGTGGTGACAGTGTGATGTTTGGCACGAGCTCTCACAAAGCGTGACGCGAACTCTGGGCCTTCCCATTCGGGACGGGCCCTTCGAAGAGCGTCGGCAGAGCCGAGTCCCCGGTGAGCACGAGCCTTACGTTTCCCCGGCGCTCGCCAGGGGCCGGTTCGAGAGCGCCTCGTGCTGGTCCAGCTGGGCGTCCCACCACCAGAGGATGCTGTTCACCACGCCGCCGCGCGTCACGGCGATCTCCACCTCCTCGCAGCGGGCGGAGAGCGCACGACATAAACTGTTCTCGGCCGTCGGGGACGGCTTCTCCAGGGCGGCTGGAAAGCTTACACCCCTACAATCGAAACGCTGTCCCAAGGAACCCGAATCGAGGAAGGAGGCCCCTTTTCCCCCATGAGTTCAACTTCGATCTCCCCATCGAGAAACTGCAGACACCCCGAGACAGACTGCGAAACAAGGAAGGAACACCGAGCCCCTCCCCCAACGAACAGGGTTCCTGGGGGAACAAAAAGTGACATAAACATAAAACTCGGAGGTCCGTGCGGATTTCTCGGATCCGCGCTGGACCCCCCTCCCTGGCGCGCGGAGCGCGCCAGGGGCGGCGCCGGAGGCGCCTCCGCGCGCCAGGGAGGGGGGTCCAGCGCGGATCCGAGAAATCCGCGCGGACCTCCGAGTTTTTATGTTTATGTCACTTTTTGTTTCCCTAGTTCCTTCTTCAGCGGCCCGACTGCATGGTGGCACGTCGACAAACGTAGACTTTCTGGCCGCCCCGGGGCAGGCGCCACCGACGGCGGCGCCCGACTCCTCCTCCTCCTCCTCCTCCTCCTCCTCCCTCCTCCTCCTCCTCCTCCTCCTCCTCCTCCTCCTCCTCCTCTAGGTCCGTCATCGGGTTCTGCACAGGTGGGGCCTCCTCCCTCCCCCCCCCTCCCCCTTCGTCTGGTGCCGCGCCGCCCTCCGTCCGCGGATCCTCCTCCCGCGGGTACAGCCTGCCGCCCTCGAGGGCGGCGGCCAGGTCGCAGCGCAGCAGCAGCACCTCCTGGCTCAGCGTGTCCCAGCCCTCTCCGCGGGCGCCGAGCATGTCCGACCCGCCACGACTGGGGGAGCTGTGGTCCTTACCCCCCTGGGGGAACCCATCGATCATCGACGACCTCCTCTCGAGATGGGTGTCGAAATCGATGGGCCCCTCCTCCTCCTCCTCCTCCTCCTCCTCCTCCTCCTCCTGCTCCTCCTCCTTCTCCTCCTGGGGTAAGGACCACAGCGCCCCAAGTTGTGGCCGGCCCGCATGTCCGCATCCGCGCCCTCGCGGCCTGGACTCCGGGGCGCGGTCCCGCGGATGCGCGGTGGCGCGGTTGCGCTCCGCGCGAGGCATCCGCGAAAAAACGCCCCAAATCCGCGGGGTCGCGGCCCAGGGGCCAGGCCCGCGAGGCAGCGGATAGGAAGATGTGTTCGCCCACGCTGGAGGCTGCCAGGGGGTCTGAATTGGCTGGGGCCCGGGGAGCTCCGTCCAGAGTGGGCATTGGGCCGAAGCCGCCGCAGTCTGTTCACCTCGCATCCGCTGTGGACGGCCCCAGGGGCCGAAAGCGGCCCACGGATGCCGCAACAGGCAGACATGCCCAGAGCCTCGAAGCTGCCCCCCCTTCCAGCTGGCTGGAGCCAGGGCTGGGCCGCCTCAGACCCCCAGCCGGCTCCAACGCCCACGGCCTCTCCCCGCCGCAGGCGGTTCAGGTTCTTGGCCACGAAGGGCGCGCTGCATCGGGGAGGCGTAAGACTCGGGTGCGGGGGACTCGGGTTGGCCCGACGGGGCCATCCTAACAAAATGACGAGACCCCATCTTCCATCTGACGCGAACCCCCGCTGCTCAAGGCCCCGTAGACCCGGACACGCTAGACCCGGACACCCAACATCCGTCGAAACCAATTTTTCCAGATGGCGGCGCGAACAAATTACTGCACTGTAGCATTTCCAGAATAAACACACAAGCCTCAAAAGCCTGCAAGACCCCCTAAACCCGGACACTAACCCGAATCCTGCAGTGCAGCAAACAAAACATGCACGGGTGCTGAAAAAACGTGACCTTGCAGGAAAGGATATCGTTTGCTTGGTTTTCCGTGTCCTGGTTTATCTGTGTCCTGGTCTCCGGGGGCCTGAGCTGCAATTATCCCACGGAGGCCGGACCGTCCAACTCCAGGACGCCTGTCAAAAACGCCGGCAAACCCGAGTTTCGGCTCACTCGAGTCTCGGGCGTTGGCAGGACTGGGTTTAGTGGGACCTGGTTTTAGCAATGTGTATTGGGGAACACCCCCCCCCACCCCCATCCCACTAACAGGAGCTGCCGTCACCCGAAGAACACCAGCTACGGCAGACCTGGTGTAGCGATTCCAGTTCATACTTTTGGCTTCGGGGCCCAATCACTAACCGGCTGCCTTTGACCGGGCGGTCCTGGCTATACTTATGTCGGGCATGTCCCCCTATTATACAAGGGGGGATTGTCGACGAAAAATTAAAAATACCCCCAACATACCCCAAAAAGGTCAAACAATACTAAAAACATAGTCCCCAGACTATTTTTGGACTATTGTTTTGACAATTTTTGGGGTATCCTTTATTCTTCGTCGAACTTCCCCCTGTAGGGGGACAGGCCCGACATAAGGCTATACCCGAGAGTCTTACGCGTCCCCGACTGGAGTGCACAGACGGCAGGCCCGCCTGCGGCGCCCCCCCGCCCGCGAGCAGCTCGGCCGGCAGCGCCGCGGCGCCCGCGGCGAAGGGGCCCCCCCGCCGCGAGGCGGCGAAGAAGGGGTCCAGGGCGTCGAAGGCGAGGCCGCCGTGGCAGTCCGGGACCCTGACCTGAGCGTCTGGTTTCGGCGGTTAGCGAGGGGGGGGCGAGGAGGAGAGAAAGGAGTGTTTTCGGACGTGTTCGTCGGACGTTGTCGTCGGTTCTGGGGCGGTTCTGTAGTCTCGGGATGCTTGCCAGAAGCTGTGCCTCGCCGAGGGCGTTCTGGGGGTGCCCGAAGCGTCCCGAACGGCCACCGGAGACCCGAGCTGTGACCCCAAAACCAAATTCGGCGGCGCGCCCGGGGTAGAAATGAGAAGGAGGAGACCTTCTCAGAAGGCGGCGGGACTTCTCTCAGAAGCCCTCGCGCCTTCTGAGAGGTGTCTGCCGTCTTCGGGGAAGGCTCCAGAGACTTCTCAGAAGCCCGGGGGGACTTCCGAGCCTTCTGAGGAGGCCCGCCCCGTCTCACTTCCCCACCTCGCTCGCCGCTGGTATTGATATTTTTGGGTGCCCAAGTCCCAGTCTATTTTACCCTGACCTTCCAGAGAGCTATTTTTTAGCATGGGAGGCCTAAACACCTAAAAACGAAACGAAACAGCCTAAAGCCAAGACATACAATAGCTCTGAGGAGGCCCGCCCCTTCTCACTCCCCCCCTCTCGCTCGCCGCCGATGGTTGATCACTCGGCCGATCACAGCACCCCATCGCGCGATCTCGTGCCAGCCCCGATCACGATGGCTGCCTGCGGGGCCCGCCAGATGTGCACCACCGCCAGGCGGCGGTAGCGAAGCACACTATCACGCGCGCGACCGCCCCGACAGGGGCCGCCACTGCGTGCCTGCGCCAAAACGGAAGTACTTGTCGTGTGGCCATGGGCGCGGATGGCGGCCACGCTTGGCGGACCGGCGAGGTACCTTGCCTTGCCGATCCCGGATCAATCACGCATTCCAGCTTAGACGATCGCGTGGTGGTCAAGCAGAAGCGATCACGTGAGCGGCGATCACGTGATCCCCCGATGGCTGCGACCTGTAATCGCCGATCGCGTGATCAGCAGGACACTGGGGCCCCAGCCCAGCCCAGGGCGCCGCGGAGCTCCAGCCCGCTGGGGATCAGCTGCGCCCCGGGGGCCGCGAAGTGGTGGCAGGCGTGCTGCAAGACGCTGAGCACCTTGGCTGCCCCGATACGCATCACGCAACCCAGAGCGTGTTGACACGAAGCTCGACACGCAGATTGAAAACGTACGTGTGGGACAATGCGTCCGCCAAAACGTGGGCCAACACGCTGAGCCAGCACGCCGCGTGTTTGGCCCAGCCCTCTTGAGCGCGGTGCGGGCTGCGTTCCTGCACAGGCGTGTCATGGCAGCTCAGCTGAGCACAGACTCGCCGGGGCCGGGGCAGCTAACTGAGCATTTTCTTAGGGTGGAGGGCTCAGGGTGAAATCCATGTGGGCTTTTGCACCTCGAAAGTCAGTCCGTCTTGTAACTCACCTTGTGCATATTCAAACCTCGAAAGTCAATCGAAACGGCATTTCAGATTTCATCCTTTGCCCTCCCCCCAAAGAATATGCTGGGGCTAAGCTGAGCACGGACTCGCCGGGGCCGGAGGCGTCCATGAGCTCGCAGAGCACGACGTCGTGCTGGCCGACCTGCTCCGGGGACAGCGCGCGCACGTCGGAGGTGAAGAGCCGCACGCTGGGCAGCGGCCGCCCCTCCCCGCGCCGCAGCCGCAGCTGCTGCAGGTGGCCTCCGATGGTCTCCAGGGTGATGTCCGAGATCTTCGGCGAGATCTCGAGCGCGACGACCTCCGACGCCCCCGCCTCCGGAGCACATGTGGCGACGAGAGCCACACCTACCCTGACCTTCCAGAGAGCTGTTTTTTGGCACGGGAGGCCCAACAACCTAAAAAGCGACACGAAACAGCCTAAAACCAAGACGTAGAATAGCTCTGGGATAGGTTTTTGAAGTCGCGTGCTATGTTTTAGCCCTCCTGGAAGATCAGGGTACGCACCGCCGCTGGCCAGGCCCAGCCTGGGCTCTCGGGAGCGGTGCGGGCGCCCCCCTGGCCTGGCCGGGGAGGCATGCATGCACGGCTCCCTGGCCGGGGCTGGGCCTGGCCGCCGGCCATGCACAGAGAGAGATCTCGCCGCCCGAGGACACAAAACAGCAGTAGCACACAGTCTTGGAGATCCACGCGGCTGCCTCGGATCCGCGCAGGACCCCCCTCCGTGGCGCGCGGAGCGCGCCAGGGGCAGCGCCGGAGGCGCCTTCAGGGGGCTCTATAGAGCCGATCCGAGAAGTCCGCTCGGAGCTCCGGAAATGCGGGTTTGCGCCATTGCTCCTTCCTCTGCACATCTCGGGATCTGCCAATGGTGTCCCTATCTTTATGTCGGGCGTGTCCCCCAACAGGGGGATTTTCAACGAAAAATGAAAAATACACCAAAAATACCCCAAAAAGGTCAACCAAAAAATTAAGAAATAGCCCCCAGACTATTTTTGGATAGTTTGTTGATTATGTTTGCGGTATTTTTTATTTTTTCGTCGAAAATCCCCCTGTAGGGGGACAGGCCCGACATAACCCAAGGTGTCCTCAGCTTTTCCAACTCGCGGGCCGGGCCCTCGCGGGCCGGGCCCCTGGGCCGACACGCGGACGACACGGGGCGATTGCTCGCGGATTCCCCGCGCGGAGCGCCTACCCGCGGGATCGCGCCCCCGGAATTGGGACCGCGAGGGCGCGGATATGGATCCCTTCGCCGCTCGTGCTCTTACCAGCCTGGAACATATCCCTATCCCTATGCTGGGCACCTCCTCATCACGATGTCAATCTTAGGGATTCCCTGACTTTTGAGGGCGAATCCCTAAGATTGTCATCGCCTGGCGTGTCAATCTTAGGGATAGGGAACCGTTCGAGGCTGGTAATGATCTGGTGTGTGCCTCTTGGTGCGGTCCCGGGGCCCTCCTGGGCCGTCTTTCGGGGGCGAAAGGCGGCTCATAGATCCGATGCCTCGTTCTTGCTCCATGTAGGGGCCTCGGAAATCGCTCGGACGTCCATTTCCTGTGTTTTTTTCGGTTTCGTGCGTGGTTTTTTCGCCAGATGGTCGAGGATGCTCCTCGATGGTCCTCGCCGAGAAAAAATGCACACGTCCGAGCGATGCCAAGTGCAGGGACCTCGGAAATCGCGACCCCCTCCTGGGGACCGGATTTTCGCCACGAGTAGCTGTCCGACGGCCCCGGGGCCTGGCGGGGGCCCCACTGGGGCCGAAAGCGCACAGTCGGACCTGGGCCAGAAGAACATCCCTCAAGAACATGAGACCCTCCGTCGGCCAAAGCGAGCAGAACAGCCAAGGGTACCCTCCCCAGGATGCACAAGAACACCAGGGCACCCTCTCCGAACCGACCTCGAGATCATACCTCGGTCCGACTGTACAAACAAGTCCGTTTTGATTTCAAGAAGTCTGTGTTCTTGGTGAACGTTTTCTGATTCAGCTTTACGACATTGGGCGGAATCTGGCTCCAGACCTCTGCTTAACGCGACGTGCGACTGTTCGCAGCAGTACGTCCCCTGGGGGAGACTCCACATGCTTGAAACAGGCGCTAAAAAACAGCCAAGATCTACTCCATGGGGGGGGGGGGGAAGCGGGGTGCGAGGGCCCGCGCCGATCGGCAACACGATGAACAAGAAAACGATCACCTGCCGCCCACTTGTTCTCCCGAGCCTCCGCGGCCAGCAGGGACAGCAGCCCCGCGCCGCAGCCGCAGTCGACGACCGAGGCGGAGCCCCGGGCGCCGGCGGCGGCCCGCTGTCCCGCGCGCGCCCGCGCCCTCGCCACGGCGCGCGAGATGGCGGCGTGGTAGCGCCGGTTGCGCTCGTGGTCGTTGGGTGGCGGTTCCAAGCTGGGGTCCTGAGGGACGGGGCCCTACCCCGACCCCCTCGCGATGTGAACAAGAATCAAAACGGGATGTTTCGTGATTGTCGGCTTCCGGGGGCCCTTACCGGCCTCGGGAGCGTAACAAAAACGGCTCAGGATGAAACACTGGTCCTGGGGAATGGGTCTGGACTTCTGGGGGTCGTGTCATGAAAAATCATGATGTCGGGGGTCTGGGTAAAGGCGAGGTGCCTCAAACAATGTAGATCTCCATCCTCGGGTCCCTTCCTATCCTGGGGGGGCCCTGGAAGTGTTCCCTCCTGCCCTTTTCCCTTCCTAGATCCCTCGGACCCAAGGGTGGATTTACGCTGTCTGCGGCACCTCATCCCTCGAGTAGGGTATCGACTACCGAATAATTTCTGTACCCCAAGATTGGTTTCTTCGTCGAGTCTACGAAAGATGCGTAGAATGTTCCGTTGATCTGCGAGCATACGCGCGTTCGTCGTGGAAGGGGCGCAAAATCAAGTTTGGGGCAAATGAATTATGTAGTCGATCCCCTACTAGAGGGATGAGGTGCCTCAAACAACGTAACTCCACCCTCGGGTCCAAGGGATCGGAGAGGAAAGGGTAGGACGGAAAGGATCCAGGGGCCCTGAGGACAGGAAAGGAAGGACCCGAGGGTGGATTTACAATGTTTGAGGCACCTCGCCCTTAGGGCCCCATCCCTCAGGACCCCATCTTTGAACCACCGGGCTGAGCATCTTGAAGTGCCACGCCGGCAGCCTCGTGTTGCCGACGGGGTGGAAGAGCGTCGAGGAACTCAGAATGACAGGAGGGTGAACTTTCGGAGCCGCGCGCGGATTTCGCGGATCGGTGCTGGACTCCCCCCTCCTCCCGGCGCGCGGAGCGCGCCGGGGGCGGCGCTGGAGGCGCCGCCCTTGGGCGGTCGCGCCGATCCGAGAAATCTGCGCGGAACTCCAAAAGGTTATCTTTGTGTCATGTTCTGTGTCCCGAGATCGTAGGGACAGCAAAGCCCACCCCCACCCCCAGCCAGGACCCCCGCTCCGGACCTGGTGCTCCAGGGGCTCCTGGCTGGGGGTGGGAATGGTGTGTTTCGGAATTCCAAGAATGGAGGGGATCAACTACAGACTTGATCTACACCGAAGTGGATTGCCCCGTCGAATTAGTTGTGTGTATATATATACACATGTATAATTCAGTGTGTGTGTGTGTGTATATATACACACATATCAACGTGTAGAGAGAGGGGGGGGGAACAACACAACAAAACAACCAACAACAAAACTAGGATGCTAGTAGCGATACGTGGTATTCTGCGCATTTTTTCATAGACTCGGCGGGGAAATCAATGTTGGGGTCAGTCAATTATCAAGTCGATCCCCCACTCGAACTCTTGGGACCACCCCCAGCCAGGTGCCCCGGGATCACCAGGTAGGGAGGGGAGGTCCTGACTGGGGCTCCTCCTCCCTCCTCCATCCTCCCTCCTCCCTCCTCCCTCCTCCGTCCTCCTCCCTCCTCCCTCCTCCGTCCTCCCTCCTCCCTCCTCCCTCCTCAGCCGCCGTCCCAGCCCGAGAGGTTTGTGGGAGCCGTGCCAGGCACGGCGAAACTTCTCTCACGGGACAGCTGCGACACGCGCCCGCCCCCCAGCGCGCCCCCGCAGCCACGGCGCGCGGCAGGAGGGCCAGCTGTGAAGCACACGGTGAACCAGCTTGGCATCGTCGAGCCAGGGCAGAGAGAAGCAGAGCCAGGACTCTGCTGAAGATCGCAGCCGCATCAGACCTCTTGTCCCAGCATCACAGCAGCATGACGTGGAGAACTCAGCGCAGTCAGTCATCAGCGCGCTCGAGACAGCCATCACGACGAAGGCAGCAGTGGCAAGGGCACCAGCATGGACAGCATCGGTACCTGTGGGAGTGCCCTGCCTGCAATTATCACAACAAGTGGGAAATTGCCAAGTGTGAGAAGTGCCACCCGAACCAGCCAGCGGCCAAGCCAGCCGCCGATCTACCTACAGCCTCCCCGCCATGGAGACGCTCCAGCTCGCGTCGCCCAGCGCACAGCAACAACGCGGAGGAGGAGGAGACCATGAACATCATGCCATGCTCGCCAGAGGAGGCCCGCGCCCACAGGCGTTGGCAAGAGCCTCCTGAGAGCCCGCAGGAGCTAGGTGAGTACAGGAAGGCCCTAGGCTCCACGTTGGAGGGCCTAGAGAGGCAGATCAAATGTTCCCAAGAGCTCAAGATGGACGCATCACAAGTGCAGGCTCTACGACACGAGTATGCCGTGGTATTGTACCAGCTCATGTACTCGCGCACAGCCTCCGCACGCACAGCCAAGCAGCTCAGCTTTGCCAACAGAGCAAAGCGCAGGCTGACGGAGGCCACACATATGCAAGTAGAGGCACAGATATATCTTGACTCATGCGTTGCGCAGGTACACGCACTACATGAAGAAGTGGCACACGTTGAAGACCTTCTCGAACATTTCAAGGACCTTGAGGATAAGGAGAAGCAGGACAATGAGCGCAAGCAGGCCGAGGCGCGTAACCACATGTCGCACGCGCGTAAGCCTCGAGCAGCAGACTACATGGACGAAGATGAGGAGGAAGATTCCGACAGATCTCCTCTTGCACCAGCAGGAGGAACATCAAGGTCACGTACTAAGTGGCCAGCTACCACGCGCTCTCCGAGCACACCAGCTGGCACACGCTCTCCAAGTACGCCTACCACTCGGACTCCGCCTGGAGCTAAACCGTGCTCGGGCTCAGCGGATTCGAAAACGGAATTTTCCACCCCTGGTCTGTTGGCGAGCATGCAGCACTCGCAGCAGGCACTCATGGCGCAGCTACTTGAGTTCAAAACGGCTATGAATACCATCCAGAAGCAGCTCACGGACGTCAGCATCAACAGCAAGACAGATCGAGAATAATTTCAGCGACAAATACAGGCACTGCAAGTTCAGACATCAACGGCATCACCTACCCCCACTCCAAGAAAGGACAAGGACAAGTCGATTCCACCAGACGCACGAACAGAAGGACGTCGACGGCTAGAGGGTGCCTTCGCCCAGGGAGCCGAGGCAGGAAGACACAAGTCTACCTCACCCAGGCGCCACACGGGTCAGGCACCACCCAAGCAAGTCAAGATCAATGAGGAGGTGGCCAGGGACTCCATGCATACACGACCTGACGAACCACATGAGATGGCAGCAGGAGAAGATGAAACGGACATGGCAGCGCTGAGCGGAGCTGGCAGCCCATCAGGCCAGCAGTCAATTTTTCGCGTGGCCTCCAGTCCGCCCACACCGCATTAACACCAGCTGAGCGCGTTTGGCGCTCAGCAGAATATTCTGGCAGGCTCGCTCAGGTCCCCCCCTCTGCCTCCTCGCAGCAGCCAGCCGGTGTTCAGGTTCCGACTCCAGACAACACAACGGAGGCCCGCTCACCAGGTGAGCATGGTTTGCCCGACTGAGGAGTCAGGAGGTCGCCCTTACCCGACTTCCGACCCACCCAGGAGCTCTTGGAGCGCCGGTGGCCCGTTCAGCCGTCTAGGGACCTCCTATCGTGGGCCCCCTACTGGCACTCATCCTCTGCTCAGGCGTTTCCAGGTCTCATCCAGTTCGATCCCAACTTGAGGTTTACTCGGATGGAAATCTACACAGACGCGACCGCAGGAGGATACACATACAACGGACAGGTGTGCGGGCCAGCTTGGGCACTGTGCATCATGGCAGTATCTGTATTAGGTGTCACTTTGCTCGGCTACCTTGCAGGCCCGCTTTCAGATTGGGAAGCGAATGATTCACTCACACCACTGAGGGCCGAGTTGGAAGCCGCCATTTGGGCTATGGCATGGGTCATGCAGTCCCCTTACAGCGCGTTGCCTCTCTGCATGCTCACGGATAACATGGACGTATACAGAGTGTATCAGGGAGGATACGTCAGAGGAGCTCTCAGCAATACCAAGCTTCTGCTAGACAGTCTTACACAGTGTGTTCGTGCATGTGCAAGTACGCTCACCTTCCAGCATGTTCATGGTCATGTTGCGAATCCCTGGAACGAATGCGTTGACACACTCGCTAGATTGTACGCCATGTCAGTGCTTCCCACCTTTTTCGAGCCGCAGTGGCGCACGCTGGTGGAACAAGAGCCCCATAGGAAGGCAATGCCGTGGCTTTGGCTGTGTTATGTCTCACCAGAGGTACGTTGCGCGCTTCCCCCTACGGCCGACCATACCATACCCATCGCCAAGGAGCCCCACACGGACCTCCAGCGGATCATTCCCAGGCCCAACAAGGTCCCCAATAAGAAACTCAAGAATCACACCATTCTCTGTTGGGTGGCAATGGCCAACGTGCTTACCATGGATCCTCGAGCCCTGCAGGGACCCCAACAGCCCCCAAGGCTGGCTGGCCTCAACATCACAGGTCGTATGATGCAGCTGTCCGCTCTCTTTGCGATCAAACCGTACATGCTTGTTGGCACGGTCGAGACACGCATGCCTAAAACAGGGGTCACAAATGTGGGAGACTATCTGGTACTACACGCCGCGGCTCTACCGACGGGTGGAGAGGGATGCTCACTCTGGGTCAATACGGAATGGGAATATGCACCAGATTGCCGCATTGCAGCATCAAATTGTTATGTGACGCATGCTTCGCCAAGAGTCATGATAATTGCCATTCGCGCACCATCTCTCAGCTTATGCGTTTGCATTGGCCATGCTCCGCACTCAAGACGTCCACCCACTGAGATTCAGCAGTGGTGGAAGGATCTGGAGGACCTTTGCCGAGAACAAAAGAGAGGAGCGGAGCACCTCATCACGCTGGTGGACGCCAATGCCGCATTAGGATCAGTACCGGATCACACCACAGGAGGAGCGCACCCTGAGGAGCAGAATCTCCCAGGAGAATGTTTCAAGCGCTTCCTACACAGCACTCAACAGTGGGCACCATCTACTTTCTATGAGGACCCCTCAGGGCACGCGGGCACGTGGCAGGCCCCCGGGGCTCGCACACAGGCCAAAAGAAAGGACTACGTTACACTATCTACGACGCTTCAGTTCCAGCAGCAGGGGATTGACAGGGACATTGACCTTCCGGTTTCACAACCCGACCACATGGTGGTTACGGCACAGGTCGAAATCCCTCCTTCAAAGTTCTCTCCAGAGCCCCCTAGGCCATACAAGATCCAACACGACCCAGCGCTGTATGACGACCCTGTGGCCTCCCAGCTATTCAACCACCTGCTCTCGCAATTCCGCCGGCCCGACTTCGGAATTCATGCTACCGACCATACTAAGGATTGTGACGACCACATCAGGATGGCGATCGAAACAGCATTCCCGACACGCACCGCGCCAACGGGCAAAAGACCACGGCAGAATTGGATAAGTTACGACACGCTGAAGCTGCAAGAAGAGAGGTCACTCTTCCTCAGGCTCCAACGGAAACTACTGCGCAGAGTCAACCAGGCCAGCCTGCATGCTCTCTTTTTTGCTTGGCAGGTTATCTGTGCAGCGGCGCCGAGGTGGCGACACACCAGATACGACTACGCACTCAGGGCCAACGCGTGCTTTCCTATACTGCCCTTTTTGCATCGAGAAGTTGCAGAGCTCGTGCCTGCATCAAAGCTTATCCCACAGGAGACGGCTTCCCTGCTCAGAAGGCAAGCTGAGATCCGACAGCGAAAGGGCACCAAACACAGGATGGGACCCCTCAGGCTCCTGGCTCGCTACGGGTACTCCGACATAGGCGCCATCATCACGTTTCCCCCTCTGGACCTCCTGAAGATTCCTTCCAACGGATCCCTGTGGCCTCCTCTGTTGGGCATCTGGGACTTTCTTCAGGGAACCAAGGCGTGTCTACTGGCTCATCGGGACCTACTACTGCACCATACTACGGCTCTCATCAGACAGGCCACTACGGACGACTCCCTAGCCCATTGTGCTAACTTAGCAAATGAGGTCTCCAGCGCTTGGTCCAAACACCAGTGTGACATTGTTTTCGCCAAGTTACGAGGAATGGGCATAGGTTCGCAAAAACGACTGTCAGCACGTGCCCTACCAACGATCGAACTGGAGGACGGCTCTATGGCTACCACACAGGTGGAAGCGGCGGACAGGTGGCTCAGACATTTCGCAGACGAGGAAGTGGGCATCGTTGTACCAATCAGTGAAGCCAGAGCTTTGCAGGCCCAGCTTCCCCCACTGCCGGAGTGCCTCACACATGACATACCACACGAAGAATTTTTTTTGCCCACGCTTGCCTCCTTCCAGCAAACATGTATGGCATCGAGAGCCTCAACCGCCAGTATCGACGGCATCCCAGGCGCGCTGCTCAGAAGGTTTGGCCCTACCATTGCCTGTTACTACTATCCCATTGTCGCCAAGTCAGCCTGGCGTCTGGAGGAACCTCTGCAATGGAAGGGGGGGAACTACTGGAACATTTGGAAACGCACGGCAAACGCTGCAAAATGCAAGAACCACAGGGCTGTGATGATATCATCCCAGGTGGGCAAAAGTTACCGAAAACTACTGCGTGACCCCATCGTGCGAGCCCTCCCCAATGCAGCAGGAGACGCCCAATATGGAGGGATTGAGGGGAGAGGAGTCGACCTTGCAGCGCTCGCACTCAGAATGTTTCAAGAGCTAGCGCTAGCCACTTGCACATCAGCTCTCTTCACAATGATCGACGCAGCATCGGCTTTCTATAGGGCCATTCGGGAGCTGGTACTGCAGCTTGGCACCAGCGACCCAGAGCTTCGACACATCCTTCGCACTGCAGGACTACCAGAGGCAGCAGTCGAAGAGCTCAAGACTCACATAGCTACGCATCCCACATTGCTTGAGGCCGCGGGAGTATCACAACATGTGAGGGCACTTGAGGCGGACAGCTACCACTCCACTTGGTTTTGGTACCCAGGGGCCACGTCGGTTGCTTTCACCCTATCGGGTGCGGTCCCTGGCCAACAACTGGGAGATGTTATTTTCAACTACGTCACGTCCGCGTGTGTCAAGGAGGCCCAAGCTGGCCTAAGGGAGCTCGAGCTTGAGATCAAGATCCCCATCAGCCTCCACTGCAGCCTCACACAGATGCTCCATGAGACCCCCGACAGAATGCAAGGAGACCTACACATCTGTTTCTTTGACGACGGGGCCTTTGTGCTGTTAGGACCAGCCATGCATCTTGTACAAGTGGCTCCGAAAGTGGTGGAAATAGTTGCAGCCAGCTTCGTGCGCAGAGGGCTGAAGCTCAACTTTGCGGAAGGAAAAACAGAAGTGCTATTTCAGCTGAGGGGCAGAGGATCCCGAGCAGCAAAGCACTTACTATGGCATGACGTGCAGGGTCAATTTAACATCGATTCACCGCTGCTGGGACAGTTTACTCTGAGGGCTGTACGCCGATACCCACACCGAGGCACCGACCTAGACGGGCTAGCCTCCATAGGGCCTGAGCTCGCGCACAGGGAAGCTTCGATACAGCAATCCTCCCAACAGCTGAGACGACGAATTTTCGCTACCAACCATACCCTACCAAGGGTGGCGGCGCTGCATCTCACGGACACACTACTATTTTCAGGGTTGTTGTTCAATGCAGGGACATGGCCACAACTATCAGCAGCACAGCACGCACACCTTCAGCATGTGATGATCAACAAGTACAGACAGGTTCTGCGCCTTCGGCACAACGCGGAACATACAGAGTGTGACATGTACGTACTTGCGCGAGCACAGCGAGCCACGCTCACCACTGCACTAAGGATTCACAGGCTCCGACTACTTGGGCGTCTTGTTCACTACGGTACCCACACACTACGCGGGCTTGTAGCACACGTATACCGTACGATGCACGAGCGCAATGGAGCATCATGGTTGCATCGAGTGTTTGATGACATGGACTGGCTACGCACGGTACATGTTAAGATGCGAAATATGCCCAGTCCGAAGGACGACTTTGCCAGGTGGGAACAGCACATTTTGGGCTCTCTGTCAGCATGGAGGCGTACGCTAAACCGCCGCCATGAGAGCCGAGGCGAAGGCCCAGGCAAGAGCTGCCCTGGCGCAGAAGGTATCAAGCAATTTGTTCGAGATGGTACGGACGGTAGGGGTACCAGTACCAATTACAGATCCGGCGCACCCCCTCTTCCCTGCCCCGGCTCCGACTCCAGAGTTACTGTGCATGTGGTGTACCTACCAAGCTACCACTACCAAAGGGCTCCGCCAGCACATCATACGTACGCACTACAGCTTTGTGGACATAGTGTCAAGATTCATGGGGGAAGGATCCTTATGCATGTCATGCTCCACATCCTTTTCCAGCAGGCGGGCGCTACGCAACAATCTTGCATATGACGCCCTACGCTGCTGCCTTGCATATTTTTTGCACGGCACGGTGCTCAGTGCCGACAGAGCCGAGGAGCTCAAGCAACAGGAGGTCACCGACCTCGCCCGACAAAAGAGGGCAGGGCTTGGGCGCTGGAGGAGCGCCTACCCGGCCAGAGTTATTGTACCGCCTGACGGCCTTTACCCCGCCGCCATGCTCGTTGCTTCTCACTACACGGACAGAGAAGCTAGGGAGATACTACGCACTCCTGAAGCTTGCTACGAATTTACCCAGGAGGCACTATCCAAATATCAGACGCTACTTGCAGACACGGAGGACACTGCACAGCCTACACTACCCCAATATGCCGACGGATATTGGAGATACCGACCCCAGGACTTCACGGGATGGGCTAAGGAAAAAGTGCCATGTCGCATCCACCGCACCACCATTTTCATCCTCAACCTATTCTCTGGGAAGCGGCGGCACGGAGACATCCAGACATGGATGGAAGGACACTGCACCGCTACACAATATGAAGTTGCAATGCTCAGTGTGGACATAGCCATCAGCACAGAGTTAGGTGACCTCACCAGACAGTCCACTATCGAGACGTGGGCCGAGCATACCCTGGCCAGGAGAGTGTGGAATACGGGGGGGGCCACCATGCGAGACATGGAGCGCAGCCAGATGGCTGGATGGGGCCCCCCCCCACTCAGAACGCAAGTATGGATGTGGGGGCTGCCCGACGTGACGGATCGACAGTCTCAGCAGCTTGACGTGAGCAGCAGTCTGTTGTGGAGCACGGTGCATTTAATAGCCTGCCATGTGGTGGCAGGCACGAGCGCATGGATGGAACATCCAGAGCCAGCATGGTGGAGGTCTCAGGCACCGTCGAGCTTCTACTGGGAACCCCTGGAAGCCCTACAATCTAGTCCCGTGTGCTACACAGCTAACTTTGACCAATGTGTACACCACGACTGTGGACCAGAGACCATCGGCAAGGCCCCCACCAGGCTCCTAGGGTTTCGTATGCCCACGCTTGCGGCCAACCTACTTAGTGCAGGATCTAATGGACGATGCAACCACCCCAAAGGATCCCATCTTTCACTGCAGGGAAAAGACGAGCTCGGGAGGTTTCGTACGAGTCGTAAGAAAACCTACCCGACAAACATGTGCAAACATATTGCATCAGCCATTGCCGACACGATCCAGTCCCACTTTGCCTCACCTGCAGAGTGTGATGTGAATGCAGAGGACTCCGACACAACTTTGGTCGAGGATCTCTGGACTTTCTATTGCAAGGAGATAGGAGAGGAATTCGCAGTTGCACCAGACTTTGCGCGTCAGGTACCCCAAGCACAGCGTCAAAGAGTGGATCCAGAAATGCACCGATGCATGGAAGGACGGGGCCAGTATGAAGATGATCCGACACCAGCTCCCGACCCAGCTCCCACTCCTGCTCCTGAGCCCTCTCCTCCCCTTTTTCCCGGGGACCTGAGCTCTGAGCTTGATGTAGAGGCCTGCCTGGGGCCTCCGCCCGTTTCCTCTCCCCCCCCGCCTCCCCCGCCCTCTCTCACTGCCGTGCAGCTCGCCCGTATAGCTGCCCACCGGAGGGAGGCCATGATCCGGAGGGAGGCCAAGCGAGCTGCCGAACACCGGCAGCGTGCGCCCTGGCAGGGCGCCCTCAGCTTCTCCTTCGGCCCCCCCCCGCAGGCGGGCCGACTGTCCTTTTGCTTGTATCATCCAGCTGCATGCAGTATCCAGAGCACAGACACCATGTCTCATGCCACCGTGCCACCACCACCTCCCTCCTCCCTCCTCCCTCCTCCCTTTTCCCTCCTCCCGCCTCCCTCCTCCCTGCACCCTCCTCCCTCCTCCCCCTTCCCTCCTCCCTCCTCCCTCCCCCTCCTGACTCCTCCCCCTCCCGCATCCCTCCAACCTCCTCCCTCCTCCTCCCCTCCCTCCTCCCTCCTCCTCCTCCCTCCTCCCTTTCCTCCGTCTTCCGTCCTCCTCCTCCATCCTTCCTCCTCCTCGTCCTCTCCGTCCTCTCCTCCGTCCTCCTCCTCCTCCTCCGTCCTCCGTCCTCGTCCTCCCATCCGTCCTCCGTCTTTCCCTCCTCCGTCCTTCCTCCTCCCTCCTCCTTCCTCCCTCCTCCCTCCTCCCTCCTCTCTCCACCCTCCTCCGTCCTCCGTCTTCCGTCCTCCGTCCTCCGTCCTCCCTCCTCCTTCCTCCCCCCTCCCTGCTTCCTTTTCTTTCCTCCCTCCTCCCTCCTCCCTCCTCCTCCTCCTTCTCCTCCTCCTTGTTTTCCTTATCAGCATCATGTTCTTAGGCTGTGTAGTATTAACTATTGTCTTAGTATTGCCACGTTTATACTATCATGTCTAGTATTATTAGTATCAGCTTTACTAATATGAGGATTAGTATTGTTGTTGTTTGCGTTAACAATGCTAGTATGATTCATAGCTTTTTATTATCATTTCCATTCTTATTTTCGTGATTATTACGATTATGTTACTTGTTATTCCTCCTCATCGTCCTCTTCCTCCCCCTCCTCCTGTCGCAACCCGAAGCCAATGTTTAGAACTGGCCGGGCATTTCACCTGAGACGTCCCCACCACGTATGACTATGAAGCCTGACATTTGACAACCGTTTCACAAACGGAGGGCGGGTCGTTTTCATCATGTGGATCTCGCTTTCGCGCCGCGCTCACTCGTCTTAAACATGTGCAAGGGTTGCACGGATTCAGGGCGAGTCGTGTTCAAACTGTGACTCTCGCCTTAGCGCAGCGCGCATTCGTTTTAAACCTTTGCAAGACCTTCGCGGATAAAGGGCTGCCCCTTTTTTTGAATGTGGCTCTCGCCTTAGCGCCACGCACACTCGTCTTAAACATGTGCCGGAGTCTCACGGGTTGAAGGCGGCTACTTTTGAACTTGTGGCTCTCGCCTTTGCGCCGCGCACATCCTTGCTAAATAAAATGCAAGAGTTTCACGGATCCCCATGGCCAACGAAACCGAAATTATGCTTTGGAAGGACTCAGGCTTATGAGGGCGCAGAAATTATGTTGGCTCCTGGTGTTCAGGTCCCACAAATGGCGCTCTGGCACGATCCTGGATCGTCAAAGCGCAACCGTCAGATTGATCCGTAGCGTTGGAATCCCGACAACAATGCTTTGGCATGCTTCAGGGTCTTCAAAAGCTGTCTTCAAACGAGGCAATTCCTTCAGTAAGGAGCAGCCGTTGTAGGGGCCTGTGAAATAGGAGCTTGGACTGAGGGTATATTCCATGATCGTTGATACCTTTGGGGTTTACAAAGTCCTCCTCCTTCTCCTCCTCCTCCTCCTTCTCTTTCTCCTCCTCCTCCTCCTTCATCTCCTCCTCCTCCCCCTCCTCCTCCTCCTCCTCCTCCTCCTCCTCCCTCCCTCCTCCTCCTCCTCCTCCTCCCCCTCCTCCTCCTCCCCCTCTCCTTTTCCCCTCCTCCTCCTCCTCTCTCCTACTTTTCCTCCCCCTCCTCCTCCTCCCCCTCCTCCTCCTCCTCCTCCTCCTCCATTCCTTTTCATTATACATAACTTATCCGTGTCGCACCCTGAAGCAAGTTTCAGGGCGGGCCGGGCGTTTCGCCTGAGACCCCCCCACCACGTATGACTTTGAAACTTGAAATTCGAAAATCGTTTTACAAATGGAGGGTGGGTCGTTTTCAAAAATATGGCTCTCGCCACAGCGCCGCGCAGATTCGTTTCAAAATTTGCCAGAGCTTCACGGATTCAGGGTGGGTCGTGTTCAAACTGTGGCTCTCGCCTTCGTGCCGCGCACACTCGCTTTAAACATCTGTCAAAGCTTCACGGGTTGAGGGTGGGTCGTTGTCAAAGGGTGGTTCTCGCCTTAGCGCCGCGCGCAATCGTTTTAAACATGTGCAATCGTTTCACGGATTGGGTGCGGGTGTGTTTCAAAATGTGGCTCTCGCCCCAGCGCCGCGCGCACTCGGCCGAAGCGTTTGCAAGAGCTTCTCAGATTGAGGGCGGGTGGTTTTCAAAATGTGACTCTCGCCCCTGCGCCGCGCACGCTCTTAGTAAAAAGTGCCAGAGTTTCACGGCTCCCCATGGTCAACGTACCAGAATTGTTTTTCTTCGAAGGGGTTCAGGCTCATGCGGGGGCGACAGTTCTGTTGGTTCGCGGTGTTGAAGTCCCACACATGGCGTTCTGGCACGATTCCAGATCGTCAGGACGCAGCAGTCAGGCTGATCCGTGGCGTGGAAAGCCGGAGAACAATGTTTGGCATGCTTCAACGTCTTCAAGGGATGTCTTCCAACGGGGTTATTCCCTCAATGGAAGTGAACCGTTATAGGGGCCTGTGAAGAGGGAGGTTGGAGGGAGGGTTGATTCCAGCATCGTTGATGACTCTTGGGTTTACACTGGTGTTCCTCCTCCTCCTTTTCCTCCTCCTCTTCCATCCTCCTCCTCCCTCCTCCTCCCTCCTTTTCCTCCTCCTCCTCCTCCTCCCTCCTCCCACCTCCATCCTCTATCCTCCCTCCTCCGCCCTCCTTCCTCCTTCTCTTCCCCTCACTCTTCCTCCTCTTCCTCCTCCATCTCCTCTTCCTCCTCCTCCTCCTCGTCCATTCCGCTTCCTTATACATAATTTTCCCTGTCGAATACCGATGCTAGTTTTTAGGGCGGGCCGGGCGTTTTGCCTGAGACACCCTCACCATTTGTAATTCCGAAACGTGAAACATGACAGCAGCTTCACAGATGGAGGGCGGGTCGTCTTCAAAATGTGGCCCTCGCCCCAGCGCCGCGCACATTCGTTTAACAAGTGATAGAAGTTCCGCGGATGGAGGGCGGGTGGTTTTAACAATGTGCTCTCGCCTCGGCGCCGCGCACATTCGTTTTGAAAAATTCGCCACCGCTTCGCGGATTGAAGGCGTGTCGTTGTCAAAATGTGGTTCTCGCCTCAGGGCCGCGCACATTGGTTTGAACAAATTGCCAGCGCTTCACATGTTGAAGGCAAATAATTTTCAACATGTGGCTTCGCCTTAGCACCGCGCGCATTCGTTTTTGAACATGAGCAAAGGCTTCACGGATTGAGGGCAGCTGGTTTCCCAAATGTGGCTCTTGCCTTAGCGCCGCGCACACTCTCGTTAAACACTTGCAAGAGTTGCACGGGTGAAAGGCAGCTGGTTTTCAAAATGTGGCTCTCGCCTTAGCGCCGCGCACATTCGTTCCTAAAAAATGCAAGGGCTTCGCGGATTGAGAGCTGCCCCTGTTAAAGAAGTGGCTCTCGCCTGAACGCCGCGCACATTGATTTCAACAAACTGCCAGCGCTTCACGGATTGAGGGCAGCTGGCGTTCAAAATGTGGCTCTCGCCTTAGCGCCGCGCGCAATTCTTAACACAAATGCAAGAGTGTCGCGGATTGAAAGCGGGCCCCTTTTTTAAAAATGCCTCGGCGAAGCGCACGTCCTTGCTAAACTATTGCAATATTTTCCCGGATCCCCATGACCAACGTACCAGAACCTGCGTTTTGGAAGAATTCTGGCTTATGAGGGCGCACATGTTATGTTGATTCGCGGTGTTCAAGTCCCACAAATGGCATTATGGCACGATTCCAAATGGCCAGGACGCAGCAGTCAGGTTGATCCGTGGCGTGGAGATCCCGAGGCCAATGTTTTGGCACTCTTCTAAATCTTCAAACGGTGTCTTGAAACGAAGCAGCTCCCTCAGGGGAACTGAACCGTTGTATGGGGGCCTGCGAAGAGGGAGGTTGGAGGGAGGGTTGATGCCAACATCGTTGATGGCTTTTGGGTTTGCACTGGCCCTCCTCCTCCTCCTTCTCCTCCACCTCCGCCTTCCTCTTCCCTCCTCCTCCTCCTCCTCCTCCTCCACTTCCTCCTCCTCCTCCTTGTTCTCCTTGTCTTCCTCCGTCTCTTCCTCTTCCTCCCTCCTTCTCTTTCCTCCTCCTTCCTCCTCCTCCTCCTCCTCCTCCTCCTCCTCTTCCTCCTCCTCTTCCTCCTCCTCCTCCCCACATCTGGCGGAGGACGCGCACGGCGGACAGCTGGCTTGCAGTCTGCAGGGTGCGGATCGCGTGGGATTCCGCGGCGTGCATGGCAACTTTGGCCCCGAACATGACCGCCATGTACTGGTACCGCTTTGGCTGCACACGTCGAGCGAGGCGATCACGCAGAGGGTGGCTCTCCTGCATGTCCGCGCGCCTGCGAAGAACAGCATGCTCTAGCCAGCGCTGTACGGGACCAGCACCTGTGCAGGATTGCCGCTGTTGTTACGCATAGCCTATGTACAGAAAACCACAGCCGGCCCACGAATACAGCGTCGCACCGCCGCCATTTGCCGTGGTGACGGCACGTATTTGTAGCTTCATGAGGTCGCGGGCCGCGTGACGGAGAATACCATGACTCGCCAGTGCTTCAGGCTGCCAAACGACATGTCGATGGATGAGTTGGAGCATAGAACCAAGCTGGCGCGCTTGCTGGTAATTCGGGCGCAGGAACAGCCACATTATATACACACATTGCATTGGACACCGTCCCATCTCAGTTCAATATCAGTGTGAGTACATCTCGTCTTGACGTCAGTGTGAGTACGTCTCGTCTTGACGACAGAAAATCAACTTCCTCTGCAAGTGTAGAGCGTCCCGTGCACAGCGTGAAACAAGGACATATTCGACTAGATTGAAACATGCGCGCAATAATGTTGTAGGCGTCCGTTGTGCACAAGCGAGCTCAACATATAACCGCTCTGTTACCCGAGAAGGAAGAGGTCGACGCTGCCTATGCACATGTATGGAGAACTGCGCGGTATGGCCGTAGGAATCCCAGAACCCAAACCACCAGCAACACTGAATGTACACTTGATGCATGGACTGCAATGCGGTTGTGCGCACATTCGCTTTTCTTTCCAAAAAATGCCAGCGCTTCACGGATTGAAGGCGGGTCGTTGTCAACATGTGGCTCTCGCCTCAGCGCCGCGCACATTCGTTTTAAACATGAGCAAAGGTTTCACGGATTGAGGGCAGCTGGAATTCCAAATGTGGCTCTCGCGTTAGCGCCGCGTACATTCTTGTTAAACACTTGCAAGAGCTGAACGGACTAAGGGCAACTGGTGTTCAACATGTGGCTCTCGCCTCAGCGCCGCGCACATGTGTTATTTTAAATATTTTAACAATGCAAGAGACTCGCGGATTGAGAGCTGCCCCTTTTTAACAAATGTGGCTCTCGCCGTAGCGCCGCGCACATTCGTTTGAACAAATGCCCAACGCTTCGCGGATTGAGGGCAGCTGGTTTTCAATATGTGGTTCTCGCCTTAGCGCCGCGCGCATTCTCTTTAGAAAATGCAAGAGATTCGCGGATTGAGAGCGGGCTCTTTGTAAATCTGTTTCTCGTTTTAGCGAAGCGCACGTCCTTGCCAAAGGAAGCAAGAGTTTCACGGATCCCCATGACCAGCGTACCAGAAACTGAGTTTTGGAACGTTTCTGGCTTATGAGGGCGCACGCGTTATGTTGAGCCGCGGTGCTCAAGTCCCACCAGTGGCATTATGGCACGATTCCAGATCGTCAGGACGCAGCAGTCAGGATAATCCGTGGCGTGGGGATCCCGGGGCCAATGTTTCGGCATGCTTCTCAATTCTCAAACCATTGTCTTGGAACGACGCAGTTCCTTCACAGGAACTGAACCGTTGTATGTGGGCCTGCGAAGAGGGCGGTTGGGGGGAGGCTTGATGCCAACAGCGTTGATGACTTTTGGGTTTGCACTGGTCTTCCTCCCCCCCTCGTCCACCTCCACCTTCCTCCTCCCTCCTCCTCCTCCTCCTCCTCCTCCTCCACCAATTCCTCCTCCTCCTTTTCCTCCTTCTCTTCCTCCGCCTCTTCCTCTTCCTCCCTCCTCCTCCCTCCTCCGTCCTTCTCCTTCTCCTCCTTATCCTCCTCCTCTTCCTCCTCCTCCTCCTCCTCCCTCCGTCCCTCCCTCCCTCCCTCCCTCCCTCCTCCTCCTCCTCCTCGTCCTCCTCCTCCTCGTCCTCCTTGTCGTCATCCTCCTCCTCCTCCGCCTCCCCCGCCCTCCTCTGCAGTTACACCGTGGGTTGCTAGCCAGGTTTCGCCCTCGTTAGGAACCGACAACAACAGGCAGCGAGTTGGGGGTTCCCCAGGTAACGGGCGCACCCCCTTGACAATCCCTAGTTGGCTCAGAGACTGTCGAACCGCGGCCCGCTCGCTGACCTGGCGGGGCTTTTCAGCAAGGCGATCTGATTGCAACTGTTTGGGCGCCGCGCTGCCAAAGGCGCGCGACCCACATCGATTGCAAAAGAGCGCAGGTGATTGGTGCACGACCGTGCGCGAGACCATCCACAAGTGATCTCGCTGGCGTTTGAGTCTGTATAAATTCAGCAGGAAGAGGTGAGAGCACCGCAAATGCCGTGGCTTTAGAGGGGTCCGAGAAGCACTTAGCGTACTCAACGCACCTCCAACGGCGCCCATCCCACTTAAGGTTATGAGCACGAGCCTGGCCAGAGGGGCGCGGGGCACGGGGAATTCCATCAAGCTGACCATGCAACTGACGGGCAAGCGGCCACGCTTTTAGCATGACAGCCCTAGCCGAACTCACAGCCAAAAGCTTTTCTTTCAAAGTGGTCACTGATTCCAAATCGCTAGGGAAGTGGAAACCGGACGCACCTTTATTGGCTAGTTTGTCGGCCCAAGAGTTCCCCCGAGTCATAAAACATGCCCTGGGATCGGTGAGGCCTCTCTCGGGATCCATGAGCTTTGACTTTGTGGACCTGGAAGGAGCCCTTGATGTCCGGCTTCAGAAATCGCCAGAGATCCCGCATAATGGAACGTCCATCCCAAGCAAGCGATTCTGAAGCCCACCCTTTGACCAAAACTGCGCAAACAGCATGCGCGTCAACATCAGGCTGGCCCTCGAGGATCCCGCGCGCACAATGGAATATGGCGGCATGCTCGCCTCGCGACGCACTCCGAAGGCAAACTGCAGGCACATGTCCAACAACTCCTCTTAAAAATTCACTCGTGTCCGTCATTGCTGCCACCCCCCATCCAGCACGCGCTAGCACAGTCAAAGTCGGAGACAAGCAAGAGCCGCCCACAAACAACGGCCTATTATGGTCGTGCTTGAAAGGCTGGATCTGATCCAGCTCAGCATTCATAAAGACTGGCGACTCGTCGGCGCCGGTGGCATACTCGATGGTAGGCCGTGCCAGCCACAACTTGCTGAAGAGGGGGGAGGTGGGGCCTGCTGCAAGGGCCTCCTGCACAAGCTCCTCCTTCACCTCCTCACTCCTAAGACGAGTCAAAAATCCATTCTCACCCTCGCACTCCCAGCAGCGATGCCAAACTGTGTCAGTCTTACCACAATACACACAAACAGGACTGATAGCATAGCCCCAAGTGTGCAGCTTGCTGGCAGTAGGGTAGCTGTTGGAGTACACTCGGCAATGGTTTTGCTTAGCAGCGTTGCGTTACTTCTTACTGCTGAACACCTGTCTGATCGGCTCGCTGCAAAATCCACGATCCCGAACTGCTTGACCCTCGGACCCGGCAAGATCGTGAGCGAGGCGATCCATAGCTTCAGACAGGTAATCCTGACGCAAGTCGTCGACAGAAAATCTGCCAACTAAAACTGGTGCAACAGAAGTGAGCTCCATCGCATCTCCGCTGCTGCGCAGAAAATTAGCGGGCGTCTTGACCTTGCACTTGGCTCCGTTAAGCAACATAATGAGATCGCGACGGGGTCCCAGAGAACGTTGCCCCAAAGTCTTGCCTTCAGAGCCCAGGAGATCAGCGCGCGCAGCATGAAAGGCCTTGCTAAAGGGTAACTGTATCCAGCCCATCAGGAGGCCTGAGGTTCCTATCAGTCCAAAAACCATCACCCTCTAGTATGCCTAACCAATGTAGACGAGGCCTACTTGAAGGGGCCCTTACTGAGCGCCAGGGACCATATCAGCTCCAAGTTGCAACTAGGGGACCACAGCCCAAGATGCCGAGCCCCTTGGACACGAAGATGTTGGATACATGAGGGGGTGTTTCCAGACATGTCCGGACCATATGCAACAGACGGCACCATCCCGCTGAGAAAAATCGTAGCTTTCTTTGCCGCGGTCGAAACGCGGAGGCTGCAGATCTTGGGCATTCGCCTCAGTGCTTTCTGCTGGCGAGAGCGCTTGACCTCGAGGGCCCCCTTAGCCGATCGAGGTCGGCGCCCCGCCGCAAAGTCAACGCCAATATTGCGGATCGAAAAGGCCGCATCACCAGCGTGCTGGCCGAGAACAGACTTAGCGCGATCGAGCAAAGCGGCCCGATTGGCCACGGTCGCAAACTTGCGCATGGCAAACCTAAGCCCGAGGCGATGGTGGAAAAAAGGAGACGAGACGGGGAAAGGCGATGGCGAGGGGGGCAAGGCATCCGTCCATCGCGTCGTTACTGGTAGCGAGGCAGTTGTCGTCAGACAAAAATCCCGAGGTCGGAGCCAGGAAGAGTGGGGGCCAGGTCACGAACGCCAGGGACCATAAGAGCCTTGACTTCAAAAGTCGCTGCGCTGCTTCCTGCAACCGCCCCCTGGGATGGATAAATGACCCGAGATGCTGCCCCTTCAATACTACGCCCCCCCCCCCCAATAGATGCGCGTTGATAGCAACCCTAAGCGCAAACAAAGGATAGTCGGCAAGCTCCACTTCCCCCCTCCTTCCTCTCCCTATGGGGCCACGAAACGTGTGAGGGGTGTGCCGAAGTGGGTGTGGCTGACGCGGAGGGGGAGGAGGGAGGAGGGGGAGGAGGCAGCGGGAGGAAAGAAGGAAGGAGAACGCGGGGCACCGTCTCTTCAAAACGAGGACCCAACACCACAGGATGGTTGGGAACAAAAAGCCTCAGGACCCGTTTCCCTCAGGACCCGCTTCTGCGAGGCGGGGCTTATGCATATCCACCGCCTGGGAACCGACGTCCTGGTGCCCTAGCGGGCGGTGGATCGGAGGTCAGGGGTGAGATCGAAGTGGAACGGAGAGCCCCCCTACCGGGAAATCGGTTTCGGTTTCGTGTTCGTGCGTGCAGTGCGTGCGGGCGAGGCGAAGCTGCATGGGCGGGCGAAAATGAATTCTCCTCCGGCTGTGGCGCGGACGGACCAAACGATTCCTGACCGGGGACCGGTGGTGCGCGGTGTCCCGCTGGTGTCCCGCCTCCGGCTGATCGCGCGGCCGGACCAAATGATTCCTGACCGGGGGCCGGTGGCGCGCGGTGTCCCGCCGGTGTCCCGCCTCCGGCTGTGGCGCGGCCGGACCAAATGATTTCTGGACCGGGGGCCAGTGGCGCGCGGTGTCCCGCTAGTGTCCCGCCGGTGTCCCGTCGGTGTCCCGATGATGATGATGATGATGATGATGATGATGATGATGATGATGATGATGATGATGATGATGATGATGATGAATGATGATTATGATGATGATGATGATGATGATGATGATGATGATGATGATGATGATGATGATGATGATGATGATGATGATGATGATGATGGTGATGGTGATGGTGGTGATGATGGTGGTTTCCCGTGATGAATGATGATGACGATGATGATGATGATGATGATGATGATGATGGCGATGTTTGATGATGATGACGATGTATGGTGATGATTGATGGGTCCAGATGAATGATTGATGATGATGATGTGATGATGTTGACGTGGATGATGATGGTGTCCTGATGATTGATGATGATGATGGTCATGATGATGTTGGTGGTGATGAGATGATGCTGATATGATGATGATGATGACGAGGATGATGATGAGTGTGTCCCGATGATGATGATGAGGTTGATGATGATGTTGATGATGATGGTGATGATGATGGTGCCCCGATGATGATGATGATGCTGATGATGATGATGACGATGCTGGTGTCCCGATGATGATGATCATGTTGATGATGAGGATGATAATGAGGTGATGATGCTGATTTTGATGATGGTGGCCCGATGATGGTGATGATGGTGATGATGGTGATGCTGATGTTAATGATGATGATGGTTTCCCGATGATGACGATGATGATGGTGATGATGACGATGGTGACGATGATGATGGTGTCCCGATGATGATGATGTTTATGATGATTATGTTGCTGCTGATGATGATGGTATCCAGATGATGATGATGATGTTGATGGTGTTGCTCATGATGGTGATGATGATGATGAGATGGTGATGATGATGATGGTGGTGTTCCGATGATGATGATGATGATGATGATGATGATGGTGCCCCAATGATGATGTGGGTGATGCTGATGGGGACGATGATGGTGTCCCGACGATGATGATGATGGTGATGATGATGATGATGGTGATGATGATGTTGATGACGTTGATGACGATGATGACGATGATGATGATGATGATGATGATGATGATGATGATGATGATGATGACGTTGATTGTGAAATCGATTGTTCGATAGTGAGATCGATAGTGCGACCGAATGTGAGATCGATTGTGAGATCGTTAGTGAGATCGATAGTGAGATCGATTGTGAGATCGATCGTCAGATCGATTGTGAGATCGATCGAATGAAATAGATCGAGCGAGACCGATAGTGAGATCGATCGTGTGAGATCGATCGAGCGAGACCGATAGTGAGATCGATAGTGAGATCGATATGAAAGGGCCCTGAGACACACAAATAAATACACACAAATAAAAGGGTTCCCCATATTTCCCTATATTTTCTGGGTTTTTGTCTTCCCCCCACTTCCCATATTTTTCCACATTTTTCTGGGAATCGACGATTAATTGTGTCTGTGTGTTTTTTCCCCTCCTGACGATGGTGAGACCGATCGAGTGAGACGTTGGTTCCTCCCCCCCCGAACCTCCTTATCACCCGAAGGGTGGTCGTATAGGATATGGATATATTTTGGCCCCCGGGGGGGCCAAAATATGTCCATATCCACCGCCTGCCGAGGTCCCTGGAAATTGATCCTCCAGGCGGTGGATATGGGTAAATTCCCGTCTCGGAGCTTCCCCCATGGCGACCACTGCCTTCGGGGATCTGCTGACCCGGGTCCATCCAGACCCGGGTCGGTCAGGCCTTGCAAGATCCTGCAAGATCAAGCCCGGGTCAATGGGAAGGAACCTGCAAGATCCTGCAGGATCCTGCACCCAAACCTGGGTCAGTGCGACCCTGGCCGTGCAGGATCCTGCAAGATCGGGCGCTCTGGCTAACCCCCGTTTGCATTGACCCCCGTCTCAAGGCACCCGATGCCTCCCGATGGTCTCCCGCCCGGTCTAGGAGCGGGAGTCGTCTCCTTGCGGGGCCCCCAAAGGCCGCCTACGGCGAGGCGCACTCCAGGATCCCTACGGTGGAGGCCAGTCCACAATAAACCTTCCATGAGAAACCCAACTCCTGAACATTGTCTTAGGGTGGAGGGCTCAGGGTGAAATCCATACCATGGTCTTTTGCACATCTTGTGATTCACCTTTTGCATATTCAAGCCTCGAAAACGCATCGGAACTGCATTTCAGATTTCACCCTTCGCCCTCCACCCAAAGAAAAAGTTCGGAACTCTGAGACCCCAGAACGTCCACCGATTTTTGGTGTGGGAACGTCACGCTGTCCATTGCAAAACTATCGAAACCCAAGGCACCCTGGAGGCGAGCAGGGTGTTTCTTGGCATGGGTCTCCACCGTATTAAGATACCAGGCCAAGACGGGGAGGGATAAAATTCTGACCATGACACATCGGTGATCTCTGAGGTTCCTCTCGGGCCAAATCCAATCAGCGAGGGCCCCGGGGCCCAGATCCAGGCGAAACCGCCCAGGGTGAGATCGCCGGAGACACCAAAAGGTACTGATACCGCTACTCCCCGGAACTCTCCTGGGGTGCGTTCAGACCAGGATTTCGCGGCGAACCTAGCGGTGGCGACGACGGAGGCCCAGGAGGCCCCAAAAAGGGGAAAATCGAGGGGAGGGTAGAGGTATGGGTACCTGTTCCTCCTCTGAGATTGCAGCGCCAGGCCACCGGGGTCGAGCTACGACCAAGCGCAGAGCTGTCGCCGGACAAACGCCGGGCCAGCGCGGGGTCGACCGAGGACAGGCGCCGGGCCAACTCGGAGTCGACGCTGGACGTGCGCTCGAAGGCCTCGTAGCAGTGCGATGGCGGAGGCTCAGGCGAAGAGGGGGGGATGGGCGCCGAGAGCTGGAAGGAGGGGAATCGAGGCTCCCAAATCGAGACTTGCTTGTCGCCATGTCCTGAATGTGGATGTGTCCCCTGGGCAGATCGTCTGTAAGGGTTTCATATCCGTCACCGTGCCCCGAGGCACGAGTTAGAGCGTCCTCAGGTCCGCGTTCTATGTATGTTTTGAATACTGTAAATGTTGTATGAGAGGGGCCGAGGGCCCAAATTTCCATATCGTCTGGGCGATCTTGCGCGCTCCCGGGGTTCATCCTGTGATTCTTCAGTCAGAGTCCAGAGGGCCACAAGAAGCGCCCAAGGGCGCCCAAGAGGCCTAAACGATCGCATACGATCGCTCCACGACGCCCAAGATGGCCCCAAGAGGCCCCCAGGACGGCCCAAGAGGGCTTCAGGAGGTTCCCCAAGAGGGCCCCGAGATGGCAAAGGCATTCATGTCCCTGAGGTCTTTGAAGGATGTTCGTGCTGTGTTTCAAGCTTTCGACGCTCGAAGACGGCCCTAGAGGCCTCCAAGATAGACTCCAGACGGCCCAAGAGGCCGCATGAGCACCCTAAGACGGCCCAAGAATACCCCAAGACAGTCCAATAGGGCCCCAAGAGGGGCCCAAGAGAGGCCCCAGAGGGGAACACGAACCGACATTTCGAGCCCTTCGCCCCAAGATGGCCCCCGAGACCGAAAGCAGGCTCTCAAGAGGGGAGGCCCCCCACAAGCTCCAGGAGGCCCTCAAGTGGTCCAAGTGAGGCCCCAAGAGGCCTCCAAGAGAGCCCCGAGAGGCTCCCAAGACACCCCACACAAGCATGCCAGAGGCCTCTGACCTACAATCCACTTGCGGTAGCGGGATGGGCCGAAGGCCACAGTGGTGCGCGGCGTGCCAGATCCTACTGGTTTGGTTTTGGCCCTTTTTCCCCGCAAATCTCTCCCCTGGGGCTTCGGCCCGTCCCGCCAGCCACGTGGAAGGCGCGCAATTCTGAGACAAATCCTCCCACAACGGCTCAAGATGGCTTTCAAGACCGCCAAGATGGCCAAAGATGGCCACCAAAATAGACAAGATGGCCTCCAAGACGGCTGCGATGGCCCCAAGATGCCTCCAAGACGGCCCAAGATGCCTCCAAGACGGCCTAATATAGCTTCAAGATGGTCCCAAGACGCCACCAGGACGGCCCAAGAGGCCTCGAAGAGGATCTTCAGGAAGGCCCGAAGAAGTAAAACTCGTTCCCCAAACAGTGTTTGCACTCAGGGGTTCTTACTTGGCTGAACCATCTCGGGGTGAGAGGAAGCTTTTGCGGGCGGTGCCGCCCGTCGCCGATGTCACCTTCGCCGTCGTCGCCGTTCGGGGCGAGTGGCGATTTTTGTGGGCGGTGCCGCCCGTCGCCGCCGTCGCCGTCGCCGTCGCCGCCGCTCGGGGCGAGTGGAGGTTTTTGCGGGAGGTGCCACCCGTCGCCGCCGTCGCCGTCGCATAGATTTCCTTTTCTTTAAATAAACTGAATAGATTCTAGCCCCCCCGGGGTTACCCCCCCATTTTCGTATTCGCAGCCGCAGAGATGCACCAGCCAACACCAAGCACGCATGGCAATCACCGCCGTTCGTGTTTTGCAAGACAAGATGCGGGTGGATGGGTGGGATGGTTGCGCGAACAATTGAATTGACAACTGTGGGTTCCGCAAGTGAGTTCTCCTGTCTAACAAGAAAGTAAACTCATATATTACCCCCCCGCGCGTTACCGCCCCCCTTTTCGTATTGCAATTTGCATATCATTATGCCCCATCGTTCATCCGAAAGATGAGCTCGTACCATCCCCGGGGAACCAGTATCGACCCCCCCCCCAGCCATCCTCTGCAACGGTTACTACGCGCGCACTCGTATTGTTTGTTGTTGTGTTGTGTGTTCCGTTGTACCATAAAAGAAGAACCACTTGCGCGCGCTCTTGCGAATTCTTGAGAAAACAATGAGTTCTTCAATTGGTTCATCAAATGGTACCAAACGAGCTTCGCGCGCGCGTGTCGACATCGTTCGAACGCACTTGCGCGCGCGCTGTCGCGATAACCCTTTGCATTTCAGCGATTTTAGGTCCCGCAGGGATTTCAAAGCCAATTGTCGCGAAACCATATTAAAACGTATGGATTCGCAACGACAGTTTTCAAAACAAAAGAACGTGCGTTCGAGCTCTTGCGAACTCTTGAGACACCCATACGTTGTTTTGTTAACATGTTCGTTGAATTCTGCAGAGCGGGCATCTTGCGCCGCATACCGAAATCACTCGAACGCCCTCGCGCGCGTGCTGGGAGGGCACGATCCGTGTCAAATCATACTATTCGGGCCACCCTCGCGCGGGTATCGAACTCCTTCCAAAACCTTCATCACCGACGCGAGGACGCCGTCATCGCCGCCGGCGTGATCAGCATAGGCGCCGTCACTGGCCGCGCCGTCGTCGTTATCATCATCGTCACCAGCATCGCCGCTATCATCATCGTGGCTACTCTTGTCGACGTTGCCATGGTACGGCGCCCGCCTAAATCGCCGACTCGCACTGAAGTGCTCGCTGGGATGTGCTCAGCGGTCAGCACCACCGCGGCCGCGTCGGTCGGGCCAAACTAGGTGATCGCCGCGCGCAAGAACCAGCGCGGGCTGGTGCGGCCGCGGAGATGCACCAGACAACACCAAGCACTCATGGCAATCGCCGCCGCTCATGTTTTGCAGGACAAGTTGCGGGTGGGTGGATGTGATGGTTGCGCCAGCAATGGAGTTGACAACTGCGGGCTCCACAACTGAGTTCTCCTTGCTAAAAAGAAAAGGGTCTCATATTCTACCCCCCCGGAGTTATCGGCCCCCCTTTTCCGCAGCTTTGCAAGTTGCATATCATTCTGCCCCATTGTCCATCCTAGTCAATGAATTCATACCACCCCAGGGAAAACGGCACTGAGCCCCTCGCCATCCATGCAACAAATTCTATGCGCGCGCACTCGCTTATTCAAACGAACCAGTTCCCAAGAATCCATTGCAGCTGATGGGACGAAGTGCGCGCGCGCGTCGTCGCGCGCGCGTGCCGAATAACAACAACCTCGGTGTCGTAAGGATTTCAATATCAGGTGTCCCAAATAATATGTGAAACCACGTGGTTCCGCGACGCGGGTACTCTCAAACTAAGCTTGCGGTAGCGTTCTTGCGAATTCTGAAGAAGACCATCGGCTTACCAATATTTTCATAACATGCTACCGAACGGGCTTCGCGCGCGCATGTTGAAATTACTACAACCCCTGTGCGCGCGTGCCGTCGCAAGAATGCCTCGAGCAAAAAATACACTGCAACGCACCCAACCCATTTGCACCGAATTGACGGCTCCCGACGGCGTCAGACGTGCCAGGAGCCCACCAAGATGGCCGAAGTTGGCTCGAAACTGGCCTAAGACGGCCCAAGAGACCTCCAAGAGGGCCACCAGGAAAGCCAGAAACTGCCAAAAACACTGAGTTCCCGTTGGTTTTTGCAGGATGTTGGCAGTTGCTTTCTTTCTGCCTGCCGACGGCCCGAGACGGCCCAAGGGCCCCCAAAGATCGCCCAGAGGTCGCCCAAGAGGTCTCCAAGATGGTTCCAGAACGGCCCAAGAGGCCCCCAAGACGGCCCCAAGAGGTCCCCAAGACGGCCCAGGAGGCCTTTAAGACGCCCAAGATGGCCTCCAAGACAACCCCGAAGCGCCAAAAGGGCCCCAAGTTGGTTCAGAGAGGCCCCCAAAACGGCTCCCGACGGCGTCAGACGGGTCAGGAACTACCTAAAACTGCCAAAGAGGCCCCAGAGAAGTCCCAAGAAGGCCCCACGAGGCCCTCAAGAGGCTCCAAGAGAGCCCAAGATAGCACCAACATGGCCTCCAAGACGGTCCCAAGATGGCCCAATCCAGCCCAAGAGTACCTCAAGAGGAAGAGGCATCCTCCCCCTTTTCTTTTTTCCTCATTCTCCCCCTCTGCCTCTTCCTCCCCCACGTGTTCCCCGAAGGCTTTCCAAACCGACTCGGGGAATACATGGTCTGATAGCTTCGCCCCCCAAGATGCCTCCAAGACGGCCCAAGATGCCTCCAAGACGGCCTAACATGGCGTCAATATTGCCCAAGACGGCCCAAGAGGCCCCCAAAAGGCCTCCAAGACTGCCCAAGAGGCCTCCAAGAGGTGCTCCAGGAGGGCCCGAAGAGGCTAAAATCATTCATTTTCCCTTAGTGTTTCAAGGAGGTTGGCATTTGTTTCTTCTCGCCATTCCGACGGTTCAAGACGGCCCAAGAGGCCTCTTCCTCTTCCTCATCATCCCCCACGTGTTCCCCGAAAAGGTTTCCAAACCGATTCGGGGAGCACATGGTCCGATAGCTTGGCAGGCCTCTGGCCACAACGTTCGGCCACATATGCGCTTCTCAAAGGGCAGGGGGCGGCGGTGATTCGCCGTAAGCGTCTTCGATCCGACGCCCCCCGTTGATTCATCACAAAAGGATGCCCAGCGTGCTGAACCCTTGCGCTGTTGGTTTTGATTTTTCCCCCAAAAAAAAACTCACCGTGGGGCGTCGGCCCGTCCCGCCGGCCACCCGGAAAAGTGCACAAAAGGTGGTTGCACTCCAAGATGCCTCGAAGATGGCCCAGATGGCCTCCAAGACGGCCTGAGAGGGTCCAAGGTACTTCCAGATACGCCCAAGAAGCCTGCAAGACGGCCCAAGACAGCCCAAGAGGTGTTCAAAAGGCCTCCAAGACGGCCCAAGAGGACTCCGAGAGGTCCTCCAGGAGGGCCCGATGATGCAAAAATCCTTGATTTTTATGAGTGTTTGAATGATTTTCGTATTTGCTCTTAGTCGGCCTTCCGACGACCCAAGACGGCCCAAGAGGCCCCCAAGATCGCCACCAGAGCGCCCAAGAGGCCTCCAAGATGGCCTCAGGACTGCCCAAGAGGCCCCCAAGACGGCCCCAAGAGGGCCCAAAGA